AAGGGATTTGACGAATGGATATTCCTCAATGAAAATATTCGGCAGGGTATCATTTCGTTGACAGAAGAGAAAAGAATCGATTTATCGTTGGAAGACACAGGCAAATGTTCAAACTTGTCAAATAGTCTACTGTATATCGTCCAAGGAGGAAACGGCGGATTTCGTACTTCCAGGATTTTAAAGTATTGATTCTTCAAAATATTTATCATGTTTTGTGATGATCTTCCAAAGCTCAAAAACCACAAAATACTCGACACTGTTTTCAATGAAATATTGAAGAAAAAAGAATTCTTTATCGTCAGATGTTTAGACAATCATAGTGAGATATGAGTGTAAAAAAACTGGAACAATAGAGCTGATTAGTTTAGTTAAATTTTTCAACAGAAAAAAGAGCAATACAATAATTCTAATCTGTTTGTTAAATTAACACCCCTACATTCAAGCTTTCATTCACCCATTCACTGCTTTGCATAGCTTGTTTTGATCGATCACCTGACAATTGTGGTTTGTAATTCGTAAAAAACCAACCGGCTGTTTGCTTCTGAATATACTTTTCTTTCCCGTCACTTTCGACGCGAAAGCATGAATTTGATAACGATGGAGGGACTATATCAAACACTCTCATTGCATTGAATTCGGATTTGCCGTTCGCTTCTACCATAGGTGTATCACCTTCATCTTCAGACGAATCAACGTCAGATTCATCGCAATCTGATTCATCTTCTTTATATTCGACTTTTCTGAACTTTTTCGATACTTTCATGAGTACGATTACTACACAATGAATGAGAAATATTCTCTTTCATAAACAGCACTCTTTCGTCGCCGCTTATGATGTTTTCGAAACTTTTGTCGTTGAATTTTATGAGACATTTATTCGCGTCGATATTTTCGAGATATCATTACTCAGTAATTTCTATTTCCACCGAATTATTTTTTGCTGATTCTCCTGTCGACAATGGCGAGTTGCAAATGTAGATCCCCAGGTCAAACAGTCCGGTCCGGAACAGACCAGCTCCAGGACCTTCCAGAGATTTCATGAAAGCAATATTTCGGTTACTAAATCCTGTCGTCGGATTTACTCGATTTTCTTGGGAACCAGAGATCGGCGGGACGGCGGTTTTGTCCCGTCCCGTCCTGTCCCGTCCCGCCGCGAGACGGGATGGGACCGAAAATTTGAGATCGTAGCGGGACGGGACGGGACAAAAACTTTTACTAGATTGTCCCGCGATGAATATTTAATTTTTTTTCTACCGTAGTAATGTTAACTGCAAGAAACACCTAAAACGGTATTAATAACTGTATTTTTTCATGAAATGTTAATATGAATAATCTATTTCATTATGTGTGATCTCTAATATCGAATCATATATTTTACTACTTATGATTTTATTTTATTGATGCAGTTTAGTAATTATTTGTCGGTGTTCTACTAAAAGAAAGAATACAATTTTCTAATGCCCAGGTGATTCAATCCGACTGGCGGATCGTGTCGGATTATATAGAATTACATCGGAAAAATGACTGGATTTTATCGGATCCGATGGGAATCCGTCGGAGTTTGCCGGCGTCCTAACCACAGGATTCCGATAGGCGGTTCTGAATGTCGGAATGATCACGATACTGCGGAATTCTGGAGAATCCGACACTTTCCAACATCTGGAGCCGCCTGTCGGAATCCTGTGGTTAGGTTTCCTGGAACTTCCGACGAATTCCCCATCGGATCCGATGGGCTGAGTTTGACCTGGGTGACTGTATTTTTACTATGCCACTAGTAGCCAGAAATCTTAATCTACTCTTGAATCTGAAGTCAGACACATGCACTACACAACAGAATTAAACTATTTTATCCATTTAGTGTCAAATATAAGATTCATATTTTGTAACTCGTTTTCATACTATAGATGTTTTAGGTAAAATGAAATGCTTTGGAAAAATACTATGAAGTGTTATGGAACTCATGCGCCGTATCTATTCCATACACCTTATCTTCTTACACACTGCTTTGTCTTTTGCTTTCTAGTTCTGAACGTTGTTAAAAAAGATTCTCTTCAGCGTCCCCAGTCAGATCTGCTTGAGTATTACCATATGTAATTGCTTTTTCGTCATCTAATACCATGGGAGGAGTTTTATCCATCTACTTATATTCGTATATATTGACCAAAGTAAGAGGAAAATTATTTAAAGGCCGAACACAATGAACGCGAGCATACTAGCATCGTGAGGGAAATATCATACAAAAAACTACAGATGAATGATTTTCCTTATATCCCAGTGTTTCAAACAATGACCTGGGTAACTGTATGATTAAATGGAAGTTTCAGTGCTATTTCTTATGTATTTGAGTGGCCACTGAATTACACAACGTTATCTGCCTCCAAAAAACAAACTCTTTTGCTGTCACACTTACTAACAATTTACATTCTATATGTCTCTGTCTCTGTACAATAGGTGACTCAAGAGTTCTTCATATCAAAATCAGAAACTTTTAGATTATCTGGATAGATGTAGTTACATTTAAACCATTGCGGAACAAGCTTTATACAACAACAACAAGGTTTCCGTAAAAACAAAGAGTAAGGTACCATGTCAGAAAATCAATGATATACAATGAAAAGTATTGACCTCATATTTACTTATTTGAAATTAGTTACGAAGAAATTTTAGTAGCACGCGGGACGCGGGACGGGGCGGGACGGGACGGAAAAATCGTCGTCCCGCCGGTCTCTGTTGGGAACCGACAAGAACCTGTCATAACTGATAGTCGGATATGATTCCTGGTTTCCTCGGCAGAATTCCAGGCACTTTCCCATAGTATCCAACACGAAAATCATAGATATCCACCGAAAATAAGCCGAATTCTGCTTCCAGGAACCATCTCCCTGGGATAAGGTGCAAAAAAATATCACAATTGAAAACATAAATATTTTCTTCGTCTGGATGAGTTTTAGAACAATAGTTTGATTCCAATTAAGTATGTTACACCAAGGGACCCTATAGAATAAGAGACTTCTTTCATATTCTTCTATCCTCGAAATGATCATACTGCACACGACAGATAGATATCATCAGCCTACTGAGCATCTTGCTGTGCTTTGGTCATAGAAACGTTTGTAACTGATGAATTAATTCCTCCTGTTGAACTTCATTGAAGCTCAATTCTGTATCGTCGAGCCTCGTCGTCAAAGCATTGACAAGTAGTTTGGCAGTGGTTTCAATTGAATAGAGACGAAACAACAAGTGTCATCTTTGCTTAATCATGATTGACCAATATTTATTTCGATAGAAAAAAACGGAGAATAATGAAAGACATATACCGACTCGAACATCAGAATTACGGCGAGAGAGAAAAACAATTGTTTTATCGTTGTGTTAAATTCGTATCTTCATCATCACTGTTACCGTTCATTATACTATCCAATGGTACATATTCGACATTATCATACGATCGTTGATTTCGCTTACGAAAATCCTTGAGATTACAAATACTAAGAACTACTAAACAGAGTCCAGAAGAGAATAGAGTAACAATTAAAACGATTAAAATAATCTTTTGGCGTGACGAATCTAAATCTTCGAACTTAGTTCGAATCTTCTCGAAGGGCGATATTAGCCACCAAGGTGATGAACGAGTTGGTTGAAGTGCCAGAGGATGAATGCAATAACCTAAAAGAAAACATTTGTATCGAATCGGTGAACTACAAGTGGTTGTACCGTTCCAGATATCTGGACATTGACAACATCCTTCAGTTGTTTCGTTTGATGTACAACAAGGTAAGCATTCGTTACTTGTAGTAAGTGACATTGGATAGGCACATTGTCGACAATACGAACCAGGATCAAAGCACTCCAGACAGTTGTGAGTGCACATTTTGCATTGCTTTAGAAGAAGAAAACAGAGCAATGAGTCGATTGAATTCTCGAATATGAACTTACTTTTGTACCTTTATCGAAGAAGTTTCCATTCGGACATACGCTAATACATTTCTTTTTAACATTATTGAAAACGAATCCTTCCGCGCATGTTTGACATTCATCTTCCAATGGTCCTGAAACCGAACAAATCAACTTTGACGTTTTCTTTGAGATTCTATATTTACGATTCGTACCTTTGCATGTACCACACATCGGATGACATGACATACACTTTCTCTCGCTTAGATAGTAACCATTCGGGCAGCGATCAACACACTTATCCTCTAGCAAGTATAAATTGTCTCGGCACTCAAGGCAACTTGTTAAGCCCGTGCATGTTAAACACGGATGAACGCATGGTTCACATTTTGTACCTGATAGGAAAGTCCTTGAGAAAAAGAATATAGAAGCTGTCGTTCGATTCAGTGCTATTTACTTTGGTGCGCATGTTGGAATACATTCATTTCCATCCAGATGATATCCCTTCGTTTCATCACATTTAACACATTGCCTTTCTTTTGTGCACCCTTTGCATCCAATCGTGCATGGCATACAGATGTTTGTTTCAATCTCAACTGTCCGACTTTCATTTATATAGAAGCCATCGGGGCAGTCATGAACGCAGTGACCATCACTGAGAAGTACTTCGGTAACCAGATTACATGCAATACAATCAGTTGGATTTGGTCCTTTACATTGTGTACACGACGAATGACACTGATGTTGTTCACCAGTGTGCTTATCAATATAATACGGTTTACCACTATATTTTTCGCAGCGATGACTGTCAGGAAGATAAACATAACCTAACTTGCACGATAAACAAGATGTTTCATTCGATGATGTACAATTTAGACAGGTATCGTAACATGGAAGACATTGTGAACTTGATTGAGATAGATAGAAACCCGGTGAACAGGAAGACACGCATGTATGATATTGAAGATAAGGATATTTGCTTTTTAAATTGCAGGATGTACATTGATAGCTGTTTGGACCACTGCAAGTGGAACACTGTGAATCACACCATCGACATCTAATGAATTAACACGTGACAAATGTTTTCAGTAGAATTTGACATACTCATTTGCCGAGAAATCGAAATAATCCGAAGTATTACATGCTCGTGGTGCTTTAACACAGTCCGTACCTTTCAGTGCATAATCGTCTGAACATGACGTGCAAACATAAGAATTCGTTTCGCACGATGCGCAATCTGCTTTACAATGGACACACTTTCGTAATTTCCTATCTATCAAAATGAAACATTGTGATATCTTCGTCTTTTAGCTTGTTGCATTCGATTACCTGTAAAATATTTTTTGGGACAGACTTCACTACATGTGGTCGTATCGGGTATAAGATAAAAGCCAAGCTTACAGCCAATACAACTGAATTCACTCGCATTTCGACACGAGCCACATTTTGAATGACAAGGTAAGCACACGCCGTCCGTCGCCGATGCGTAGCTGCCTTCCGGACAGATACCCACGCATTTACTAAGATAAAGTAGTAGGAAAATTCTTCTCATGGAAATTTACTTACAATTTTCCGTCATCTACCATTTGTTTGTAATGCCGGCATGCTGTGCAACTGGTGTCCGTTTGGCCACATTGTTCATCTGGTTTACATTCACTGTGACACTGAGAAAAAAGAAAGATTAGTGAATTGAGACTAGAGGATACTTCGAAAGCCACCCTGACTAGAGAGCGAGAGAGGAATGAAAGTAGCTGAGCAACTAGCTAATACTTCTCTGAACTGATTAACCATGCGAATTTATCATAACCAACAGACATGAATTCGTCAAACTATACTATTCTCTGTTTATTAGAAGTATGAATAAAAAATTTGATAGACGATAGATGATCACCAGTGATGTGTTAAACACATAAAAATCGGGCTTATTAAAAAGTCAGTTACTATTGTAGAACTAAGAGTGAAATTTCAATAAATATTAAGACACAACAGAACGAAATTGAAGACATCGACGAAGAAATCGAAGACACATGGCCAGTACTCACATTTGAAGCCTGACCGTTTGGTGATGAACGAAGTGATACAGGATAGTCTTTTGTACCATGAACGACAAGTCTCCAAGACTTGAGAACAGCTAGATGACGTAGAGATGAGCGCAACCGTATGTCTATCATATTGATAAATTACCTGATCGTACACCATTATTATGTATTTCTAGTGCCCATTGACCATGCGGCGGCTCGCCCCATAATTGTACAGTTAAGAATGGCCAATTAACAAAACCTTGATCACTATGATCATTAGCTCGTTTCTAAAATCAACACCATACCTTTAATCTACTAGGAAAAAAAATATGCAATTCTTCGTACTGGTAAGAGTTGTGTTTTGGTTTTTGACGGTGAGTAAAGATAGATTTCTGTTGATCCTCGATCTCCTGTAGTTAAAGTAATGAATATTTGCACTTGTTCAATATAGTTCACTGTTCGTTTAATATCAACTGTCTCCTGACATTCGGTTAAATTCACACGAAAGACTTCACTTGATCCACTTGGTATGTTTCTTTCAGGTTGATTTATAACCGTTTCACACGTTGACATAGGAGGGACATTTTTCCAAATACTTGCATACCATGTCATCAAACCAGCATCCATCAAACCAAAACCGTACTTACTACTAACTAGAAAAGATGGGGTTAACTATTTTGACGGTATGAATCATCAGATGTTTACCATTGAATCCAGCAGCATTCTGAACAAGAGGAGTATTTGATGGTATAGCATATGGACGAGAACCTAGTACAGTTATATGCATGATATCACGCCAAGTTAAATCAGGACTGAAAACGATAAGATAATTGGAGAATATGGAATGAGACAAAATTTGTCAATCATTACTTGGCCTCAAGACTGAGTGCATAGATAGCTGCAGCTAGAGGTGCTGCTGCAGACGTTCCAGTATGATGACTCGTGCAACCATGATGTAAATCAGTTGAAATCTTTTTTGTGACGAAGACACACGGCATGATATGATGTAGAATACAAATCTTGCAACTTACAATTTCATGTTCACCAAATTCGCCACTACTATATGCAGTAGTAAGAGTTGCAGAGCATTCTTCGAGAAACCATGGTTTCCTTCCTGCTTCTGTAACAGAACTAACGGCAACCTATAAAAATAAATTCAACTATGTGTTTATCATTCATGCGAATATTGACAGCAAAAGCGAAAATGTCGGCCTTGCCAGAGTAGATGTTTGGCTATATCATCAATATATTATCATACATCAAGACATACCGTATAGATAGAATTTATATAGCCATCACATGCACATGAATCTCCTGATCGACCACCGTTCCCACTAGCCCAAACAAAGATTGATCCTTTTCCACCTCGCCCCTACATGATTTCGATCATCATAAAAATCCAAAATTTCCATTTACTCACATTCAAAGCACCATTTTCGAATGCTTTCGTTGCTAAGACACCTGGACCATCGACAACCACACCATTGTCATCGGGTCCCCTAAAACAGGTTCGTCATGTATATCCTCGTTCCAAAGCAATGATTATTTATTTTAGTTTTTACCAACTAGCCGAATAGATCTCCACATGGTCAGGTCGATGACTAATCGAACGTGCTTCAACACTATCAGTTACTTCTCCATCCAGCATTCGAACACCTCCAACTCGAGCGTGATAAGCGATTCCTACTCCGCATATACCATTATCAGCTTTTGCAGAAACTTCACCAGCACATCGAGTTCCATGCCTAGGGAAAGTAGACGTTTATGTATGACCTGTAATGATGGAACGAAATCATATCTATTTACTTATTTTCATCAGTGGGATCATAACGTGGTGACGGATCAGTATCATTACCATTAATATCGGTACTAGCTTCGTGATCCTATCAATGAAAGAGGGACTTTTTTCATAGGAAAACGTTGGACAAACGAACATAATTTTCTTGTAGATCAGGATGATCGAATTCCAGGCCGTCATCAAGAAAAGTGACCACTCGACCGCGACCTGTGTAACCCATCTGCCAAGCTCCAGTGACATTTAAATCTGGCAAGTTTCCATTTTGTGAATGTCTCATCTATTTGAAAACAAACGACTGTCACCACAGAACCGAAACATCCGATTGTTCCTTACCAAATACCACATGTTGTTCCACTCAGGATCGTGAAATTTATATTCACGCTTATTTCTAACTTTTCCTACTTGAGTCTCTGCCCATTGAACCTAAACTGGATGAATACGAAACGATCAATGATATTCAATCGAAGTTCTACGTGTGGATGATTGCGAAGCAAATCAGCCGGATCGATATTTTGTTCTACAGCACGTCGATGCCGTATATGATTAACTGACGATGGATCTTCTTCAATTTCACAATACCCATCGAAAATCTGGACAAAATATTAAACTTTTAAAGGAGAAAAAAAATTCTACCTGTCGAACATAACGATATCCATGCTCTTGAGCAATATCACTAGCCAGTTGTTTACAGTCACCTTTGACTTTAACCACAATTGACTGTAGTGAAAGTGTGCGCGTGATCAATAAGGAATACAGTACAGTACAAAAAATAATGGATTGAAACATTTTTTACAAGAAAATAAAAAAACAAAAACAACGAGATTCACTTCACAAGTTTATCTCATTTGTCAGAGATAAATTTAATACAAATCTAGAAACAAAAACAGATATTTGATAAAAAAGAACTGAATGAACTTTAATAATCAATTTGATCCTTAAATAATTCAGAAGAAAAATACGTATTACTACAAAGTCGAGATGCAATCAAGCGAGTATATGATTGATTTTCAATGTACGAATGAAACGAAGCCTCTATTTGTGCATACAATACACTTCAACACGGATTACAAACTTAAGCTCTTTCTCCTTTCTCACATGGATAAATGAAGATCGGAATAATACACGAGAAACAATGAATTCAAACAGTGCTGACGTATAAACGTGCGTCTTCTACAAAATAAAGTTGAGTCAAGTATATGCGTTCTGCATGGGAAGTTTCATTACTCATATTTCTCAATCAAATATGCCAAGTTTATTACTCAAATATTGTTCATTGACATGGAGATATTTTCGAAGAAAATTTTTTCATCATGAGATCAAAATAAATTGAAATAAGAAAAATATTATTTTAAAAGTAAATATTTTCAATTCAAAAATAGTGCGACATCTGCCAGTCAATTTTTTTTTCATATACATATACAATCAATGGGAATGAATATATTATTTGGTATCGACTGTGCTGCGAGGTGACTTATGACGATCAATAGTAACCGATGAGAATCAAACTTATTTAGTGAGGTTTTGCGGATAGTTGCATGTGAAGAGTAAAAACTAATCCGTTAACAAATCCATGTAGATGATCGATTGCGAAAGTCGAAGTGAATAAATGTTTGATTTCGAACTGGTATTACTGATTGAGTTCATCAACACGAAAACAAACGATTGGATGTGCAGATACCGGGAAAAACTTTTCCAGCTTTTCGAGGTCAAAGTCGAAGAGAAAATATTCGGTTTATATCCTTTCAGGAATATACATAGTTTCGGTAAATATTTAATTGAAAGTTTTCTCAGTTTCGTTGAATAAATCTATAGTCAAACGAATGAATTATGTTGGAAAGAATCTTGACTCATAGTTGATTTTTATAATACGAATTCTGTATTCATCGTCAAATCATAAATGAAGTTAATTTATTAAGTTAAGATTTACTTACTGTACCGAAAAGAATCCGAATGCATGTTGCAGGGCAGTTACAACCCTGGCGCAATGTTTTTAAGTACAAGACCTAACCGACGAACAGTTAACGATTCATCTGTAGATTTTCGATATTACTTATAATATTCGATAGGAATTTTTAAGAAAAAAATAATGAAGATCAGTTAAGTATATATTTATACAGCAAAGAAAGATCACAAATCAAAGGAAAAAATTCACACCGGACCGATATGAGTCGTTTCGAGTTATTCCACCTGTTTCAATGTGCACTGATGTGACGATGCAACATGCAGGAAAAATGGTGATTCACGATTTGGTTCAAATGTCGCGGGTCGAATTGTATATGTACCGCCAGGTATATTGCCAAGTGTTAGAACACAAAATCCTGATCGATATGAACCTGATTCTGTCTTGTGAAATTCTCCAACAGCATTGGAAACCTTGGTTTCTGTGCAGATAACTTCGAACCCTACTTGAAATTGTTTCGGTGCACGCAATTCAATTTTAACTACGTAAATAAAGAAACGTAATTCAGTCTTATTCTGAAATTACAACTTTCATCGTACATACCATGGTTATTCACATCACGATTGTTTAATTCAAGTCGATAAAGTGGATTATTTTTAAATGTCGATGGATTGTTTTGACAACCACCAGCAGTTTTTCCTTTCCATTCACCGGTTATTTCTTGTTGATAACGTGGATTATAATAATCCGGCATCGCAGTTAAACTAAATTCACACGTAGAATAAACACGTAACGAATAATAAATGTCCACATTCTTTTCATATTGTGATACCTAAAGCAAACATTCGAACAGTCTATCAAATGAAAAACTAATCAAGATATTAGCTTTACCACAAGTGTATACAATGATTGTCCTTGTAAGTCTGCATCATCTGTAACAAGTTTGACTAAATAATGTGCTGAATTTGTTTTCACACCATCTTGGATGGGTTTGATTTCATTTGGATAATAGACTCTGTTGCCGCCATTTTTATATACAAATAGGGTTATGAAAATACGATTCACAGCGAAGTCTTGTCGTTCAGTGATATGTCGCGTTAAGAGAATCTATTTAATCAGAGAAGAATTAGAATCAAAGATGGAAAGTATCTCAATAGAACAAACCCAAATTGATGCTCGTGTTTTCGGATTAACTCGCAGAACATATTGCGGATTATCACCGAGGTTGTAAAGATCTTTGACTGGTCCCTGTCTAGCCGGCCATGAGTTATGTATACAGGACGTGTAGGAAAATAACGACGGTGACCAATTCAGATAAAAATTTTCAAAGTGATGACACAAACTATTGTAATCAATCCAAAAGACTCCATTATCAACATCAACTTGCAATTTAGGATCATAGTTCAGTGCTTTGATCAATTCGGGTGTCCAATTACGTGTATCGAAATCACTAAAGTTACCCTTCCATTCCAAATGTGACCAGGGATTTTTTAACATCACTAATTTATGTTCATTTATTTTACGCATATCGAGTAGAGCATAAGCATGGCTGGAAACAAGACCGCTACGTTCCTCTTCTTCTTTAGAAATATTCGGTGTTGCTAGATAATCGAAGAAATAACGAATGAAATCTTAAAAAATAAGCAATCGAACTTACCAACAGTAATCAGAACTTGTCCGGCATGAAAACGTTCGAACATGCGATCGAATTCTTTATCTTTATCGAACGCCGCTTCAGCATGATGAATAGAAACAAGCTCAGGTATCCAACCTAAGCGAGATAAATATGAGTAATGCCGATAAGAGAAAACAGATGATTTATACGAAGAGACGTACCAGTCAATGCGTGTAGGTCAACAGTTGAATTTGAACCGGGAAAATCATATCCACCCATGACTTTCATATACGCTTTTTCTAGTAAACTGACCCAAATTTCGTTTTTATTAGTAGTTGACGAACAGAGTAGACCTAGAAGATTTCTTTTGTATTCCTTTTCGTCGATGCATCTCATGCAACCTACGGTCCGAACGATCAACTGGTAGTGTGTCGTCGATAATCACTTTTCGCCAAACACCATTCAAATGAAATCGCACCATGTACTTTCCACATGGATTATAAATCGGTTCACCTAAGTAATAAACGAAACGAGTTTATCGACAGATTCAAATGATATTTTTCTCTACAAACCTTGCTTGTTTTGCGGGTAGATAATTGAAGTTATCAGACGCTTGTTGAACTTTTTTTCATATTGTACACTAACAGCAAGACTAGCAACGAATGAGCAATCAGAGATAAGATCTTGCTTGATGGAAAAATATGACAATGCCATGATCATTTTCGGTTCTGACATGATTTCATCAGGTCGTGCCCATCGTGAAAAATGTGTTTGTTGCTTTGGTGCTAGTTTCAATGGTCCATGAGGATCATTAAACGGTGTTTGGTATGCAAAACGTTCACGTAAATCAATATTAAAGAAAGGAACATAATCACGTCCGTTTATTTTCGATCCACGCCGTAGAACATCGAGTTCATGCGAAGATAATTTGGCTCTGTTATCAATAATATTTATATTTTGTTGATCGATATCAAGCGGTTGTTGTTGCTCGTTTAGAATAACCTCTTCGCGTGGTGGTGATGGCAAACGCACATGCGATGAAGTATTTAGCTCCGTACGTTTCAATTCTTCAGCACGTTCCAAAGCTAAATTATAAACTTGTCGATTGTGTGCACGGAATCGATTGTTAACCTACCTTGATAAGCGATTTTTTCTAATTGGTCTTTGATTTTTGCATTGTCATTGGTTTTCTTCTCACTCAGACAAAGTTTGATGGCTTCTTCATATAATTTGAAAGCAGCTTCATAATGCTTTCGTTCATCCTCGTCTAGTGCTTGTGTCAGTAAGTATCGAGCACGTTCGACACCTTTCTCCGACGTATTTTTCAAATGAACACTCGGTGTTGGTTTTGATTTCAAACTAGCTTTGATTTCTTCAGCACGCTTGATGTATCCATGTATTAGACGGACAATTTCATTTAAATCAATTGACGATGATTTTGATTGTTGCCGGTTGGACATTAATTGTTCACGAACACTAATTAATGCTTGTGCAGCTTCGACATAGAAGAAAACTGCGTCTTCACTTTTGCCTTTCGAATCGAGATCAACAGCTTTCGATGCATGTTGACGAGCATCACTTTCCAACTTCGCTATGTCAACCATGAGTTTACTTATGTCAAGTCGAGGAAGTCATTGAAATAATAAAAAAAGACTTTTATATCAATGACGTCCTGCTCTGCTTTCCTCATTCAGTTTACCATTGGAGTTTTGCCATCTTTTTTATGATTATATACCATTGGTGACACGAAAGTCGACGGCTGATAGAGACATCTAGTCTGATGAAATTTGCAATAGAATTGTATTTTAGAGCAGATTACGACTTGCACAGAGTTTCATTCATAATTTAGTGACACAAAATAATTCTATACTAAAGAAGTCATTTTTTTCGTCATCAAATTAAAATACATGCTTTTTGTGCAAAAACTAATTTCTACTATACAATACACGAATAAATAGAAGTCATTTAAAAAGATTTCCAACGAAAATACAAGCAAGAATCATGAGACCCGTCGTACGATTTGATACAAATGTCTTCCAACAGGATTGATCATCATGTAGATTAACATTTTCAATTTGCCGCCAGAGATGACAACCGACACCAACTAAACCGAGGTAATACGGCCAGGTTTGATCAACACTCAAGCCAACTGTGATCAGATGTGTCAACATACCGACGGAGAAAGCACGCAGCCATAGTTTGGAATCTTTGCCGAAAAGAAGGGCGGTTGATTTAACACCAATAAGCAAATCATCTTGTTTATCTTGATGGGCATAGATCGTATCGTAATGAAGTGTCCAACAGATACTTGCAAAATATAGAGGAAAAATAACTGCTGGATATATTTGACCAGTTGCTGCAGTGAAACCCATCAAGGTACCCCTACAAATATTCTTCTTGAAAGTGAGCATCACCTATCGAATTATTCCACTCACCAATTTAGTGTTACTCCGAGAAAGAATTGTGGCCAGTATGTGTATCGTTTCATCAGTGGGTAAATAAATACAGGTATTAATGATAACACACCGATACCAATTGTTGGCAGGTTCAATTGAATCAAAACTAGGAAGCCTAGTGATAGTTGGGTTACAAGCCAAATGATTCCCTGTCGAGTTGAAAGCTGTCTACTCGCCAATGGCCTTCCTTTCGTTCGTTCTACCCGACGATCATACTCTCTATCCCACAGGTCATTTATTGTACAACCGGCTCCTCGCATCAGTATCGTTCCGATACCGAACAAGCCGAACAGAGAGAGCGTATTCAAGGAGGTTTCGGCCAAAGCGATACTCCATGCTCCAGGTAAAAATATCACCCACGAACCAGTTGGTTTATCCAGCCGACTTAAACGAACGTATGGATGAAGAGATTTTGGTAGACGATCGAATACAGATCGAGGACGAGATATTGTATTTCTTTTCGTTGAAGATAGGTGGCATACTGATATGTTTGAAAGACGAAAGATTGCTGAGCGTGAAAACAAGGAACATACGTTTTGCCGTAACAATGGAATCATTAAAATAATCTACAACCAACGAATTTGGATTTTATGTTCTAACTGATCAACTTCATCTTTTTGATTCGATACCGAGCGTATCTTATTAAGACTTTAGTTCAATCTATAATTAAAAAGAAGTAGTTTTTAACGGAGAATCATATCGTTTATTTTTGAAAGACAATGCATGGTATATGTCTAGTTGTACTAGGATGAATAAATATGTATATATCATAAAAAGTTAGCAAAATATCACTGGTTGATCACTCTCGTTTCTTTGTTGTTTGAATAAAACGATCGTGAACGACGCAACTTAGTGCAGAAAGAGCAACAAAGAAGTATCCAAAACTTCGACGAAACAAATTCTTATACATCCAACCAATGCCAGGTATGCCATCGATCATATCGGCAAATGACCTACAAGACAAGTAAATACAATTTCCAGAGAAAATAAGCCTACGTACCACATCTCTTCGTGTCGAAATATTTCAAATTTAGGATCATCGATGTTGTCCGTATTCAGCAGTCGAAATTCGTAGACAAAGATCGAACGTAATGGATATGTATAAATCCATGAAAATTGTTGTAAATTCATGATTCCATCAACAATGCAGCGACCTGTCGTTCCATCGTCATTTAGCTTGACATTCAATTGGAATGTATCAAATGTGAAGTGAAACATATTATGAAAACCTATTTGGTGCTGATCACAATCATGACGAGATCAAATTCATGCCTTACCTTTCATTCCGATTCGATACAATTTCTTGTCACCGCCTTCTTGCCAAGGATCTTTGAAAATCACATCATCAGCTATGTATGGTAAGACTTGTCGATCGAGTAGGGCACCAGGTACATTGGTTGTGTATAGTAATTGGGTTATTGTATGAAATTGACGTTCTAGTTGATTGACAAGTTTGACCTGATTAGCAGAACTTTTCGGACGAAATGTGAAGTTTTCCGACATGTTGGAAGTTAGAAAAAAAAATTTCACGGGGAAGATAAGATGTTTGACTGTGGACGGACTGAGTCTGTAGTTCGTTCGTAAATGGCACTTAAACGGGCAAATCGTAAACCGTATGAAACATTTCGACTACGCACGACATCTGTTCGATTGAGAAACATACGCGAAAGACGAAGAGAGTCTCTGAACTGTCCAACGAAAATCAATTTCTCTGAGGAATTTGACTCATTAGTTAACTGTCAACTTCTCACAGATGATCCCATTGAAGATATGTTAATTTGAGCCGTTTCTTTTTCCTAGGATGCTCTTCGAGTCTAGACATGATAGTCTTATTTTATTCTTATTTAATTAATAATCACTCCCCAGTGTCATTTCTTAAACATCGAGGAATAGTTTGAACTAATTGACATTCGTAGGATAGCTCTTTTTCATATCGATTCAATAAACAAAGTACAATGTACTCGATGATTTCTATATGAAAATAACTGTTGAGACATTTATAGGTCGCCTGATTTGAATATACGAACTATATTTATCCAAACATTATTTTTCTGTAAACTAAATTACAATAAATTATCATGCATCAAAGAATAAGACGCATTAGGACATATTCAACGTTGCTGGTGCGTATACTCAACTATACATGCATTGTAGTTCTATTCCTTGGTGAGTGCTTTTAATAAACATAAGAACTGTTATAAAATTTTTACGATGTTTTATTGGATATTGACATGAAATTTATGATCAATGTGATATGTACAATCGTTTGGTACATATAATCGAGTTAGACGAGTCAACTTCTGATATTTCATATCCATGTCACGTTCCTTCATTATCGGTCTGCTTGTACGCATAATTGATGAATCGCAACGACCTAATATGTTTTCTCAAGGACAACGAGAAGGTTCTCATCATCGTTATCGGATAATTTCTCTATCAATTAATGAACAACTCTATGTCTCATTGTCATTAAATAGGCTTTTCTTTTCCTCTCTATGCCATTTAATGATGTGCATAGAACGTCAATGACATATACATCATGCATGTTTATGTTATCCCGATGAAGCGGCAGAAAAATCGAAGAACAAATGATCTCGCAGCGTAAAAAGTTTGAACATCGTGTTTTAAGCGAAAGTTCTCGAAGAAAAAAAAGCGAAAGAAGAAAGAAACCCTTGAGATTCTCAAGTATTGTAAAACAAACTGCACCTTATGTATGATGTTGTTTGTCTTTCATCACCTTTTCTTCCCGTATATAGATTTCAATACTGATGACATGTTGCAATCGAGTGTATCCATGTACACCTGAAGCAAAAATATTATTCTACCAATCAACAAACTTTCTTACAAGTATGTATACCGTACACAAGAAGGAAAGCAATTGAGATTAAAAAGAATTGTAAAACGTATGAAACAAGAAAAATCGTTCGAAGGCAAGAAAAAACGAGTTCCAATCTTTGTTTGCCTTTCGATCAGACTCGAGTGAGAAACATCTCATCTGCAGCGCAGCATATTGATACAATATCCACTATTCTTATCTAGCATATTCAAATATTGCCCGAAGGTTAAATATAAAAACTAACAAATTTGATCATTATCATATGTATACCTATTCAATAGAATGTCTATGTATATAGTCGCCATCGGCTTTCAACACGTATTTGTTCGTTTTTATTATTATTATAAGTGCCCTCGCGCATCAGTCACTGTTCTTGGGAAAGCAGCTGATATCATTATCATTCTTGACATACCCACACACACACACACACACACTAGCATCGATAGATTCATTCAGAACGCGTACGATCAGAAGTTTTCTTTTGGTATGCGTACTAATAGAAAAATGCTGTGCGAATTATCATGTACATGTATAATGTTTCGATAAGACGCGCATGATTGCCGAACAATCGTAGTAAACGAGCACTGTATGTAGTTGTAGAGTGTGAATGAAATAGTTCTGTGGAGAGAAACAATACGACGAAAAAGAAGATAGAAATAGAGAACATATATGTATATATATATAAATATTTATGTATATAAAACACGAGAGCAAACGAACGGACGGTAAATGTAAAATAAGAAAAACGTAGTAAGAAGCATCGAAGACGAAATTTCTTAAATATATTGTGGAACTAAACTGCTATTCGATGATGAGGACGATGAACATGTACAACGTGTAAATGTATCTGGTATAGTAGAGAAAATAGATGGATAAATCTGTAGTTGATCTTGCCCTTGAAAAACATCACCAGCATCGTAAGAAAATAAAGCTTGATTAAGTTCTTCGAACGTAAAAGGAAACTGGGATGGCGAATGAGATTGATCTGAATAAGTTGTAAAATCACTGTTCATACGATTTCTACAAGAACGAACAAAGTAAATCAAACATTCAGAGAACAGAAAAACAAAATCATGTACCTAGATATTGATTTTTGTGGCGTTTGAGGTGTTCGTCCGTCGGAATGTCGTCGTATGGTTGATGAATGATCAGTGGTATTTATTGCTGCGCGCGCTTCGTGAATATCGTGAATGAAATGACATCGAGGCCCGTATGGACAATAACCCGCTAAAAAATTAATTGAAGTAAATTATCAAAGATTACTGTCAAAATAGTTACTCGTATGAAATGTACGACAATATTCAGTTTTATACTTTGGATGACGCATTAAAATTCTTAATTCTTTGATTCCATGTGAAAATTGACATTTATCACCATATTTGCATTTACCCGTTTCTGTGAATGGCCGACATAGTTCTGTTTTGTACCGTGTAACACATACATGCGATTGTGACATGGATGTTTTAGCAGTTGGTGTTGATGAAATTCTCATTGGTTGTTGCTGTTGCTGCTGCTGTTGTTGTTGTTGATGTTGTACGATATCAGTTGATGGTAAGCGTGGAGATGATAGAGAAGATGTTGACGATCCTGATGATGAATAGCAAGACGAATGCGATTCTTTACTTGGCATTGCTAGTTTTATCTAGAAGATCGTCATTACAACATTGATGCACTTTTTCTTTGAAATAGTATATGTATCGAAAAAACTTTGAGAAAAGGAAAAAACAAAAACGAATGCACGACGAAGCGTGTTGTAAGATGAGAAGATGCAAAATGTGTATATGTATGTGTGTGTGTGTGTGTGTAGAATGTAGATATTATTATGCGTGCATAGTGTATAGTAGTAGTTAAGAGAAGAGAATACCAAAGAGAAAGGGGAAGAGAAGGAGAGAACAGAACAGATCGAGTAAACGTCATGGCAAAGACAGCAGAAAAGAAATGGAACGAAAGGAAGAAGGGTAAAGAGCAATAGTTTGTAACAGCGAAACTTCACGATGATTGTATGAATGGGCACTTTTCTGCCTTTCTCGCACGAGCGTAAGCGCTTTTTCACTCCACTTTTTTTTCCACAGACTACAAAAGGACAAAAAAAATCGAAAGTTATGAAGATGGCATTCAAGATATTTTTTATCCATTTTTAACGTAAAACTTACTTTTAGTCTTTCCTGTCATTTTCTTAGACATGCCGGTCAACGATCATCTTTCTTTCTCGTTTTTTTTCCTACATACGTCTAACCGGAAGAAATAAGTGTCATACTGCGTCATAGATTATATATGCATACATTACTCAGAGCTCGTCTTTTGTTGCGTAAATTTCCAGTATATTCACTAGAGGTCGGTGGGTTTTTAAAGACAAAGTTCATTTTTTTCCTCGTTCTCTCGCTTTGTCGTCCTTTTTTCATTGATTTTGTGTGTGTGTATGTCAAAAGGAAAAGAAGAAAGAATATATGAAGTCATCATGTTGTAATTACAAATTTTCAATTTTCAATTTCTTTCTTTTTCTTGAATATCAACGAAAAAAAAACGTTTTTAACAACATACCTGCGATTGATAATTGAACGAAATAGATAAAAACGAGTGAAAAAAAAGAGCAAGAACGGAAATATACATACATAGTTGTATTTATGATATTGACTTTTATTCTTATTCTCTTCGTGAAAGGCCTTGACTTTACATGATGAATGTGAATGAGAGGAGAAATAAAGAACGAGTCGTATACGGATTTCGTTTCTGGCATCGGCTATGTGCGATTCGCAACTTGTAAATCTACGCGTCAATGAAACGACTAAAAATGTTACATATTTATGATACTATCTCTCTCTATACACAGCGACGAACTTTGATGTTGCTGCTTTAACAGTAATGAAATATATGCAATTCCCTTTTTATCGTTGTCTTGCCAAATTTGATGTACAGCGACGTCGTATACGAGAAAAATGTACATGAATCACTCTGAGTCAAACTTATCGTTCGTTAGCAAACATATACAATTGCAAGTCGATAATTGCACACTTAATGATAAGCACGCAAAGAGATTTTTCTTTTTTTTTGTGTCATTTCAATCATCGAAATCTGGTGCACTTTCAAGGGTTAAATCAAATATTCCTTCAATTGAAGTTTTATGTATGGCAACAGACGCATATGTGTACGATTCGATTTCAATTCATACACAACTATATATAATTCGCGTCAACTTGTCACTAAAGAATGCTTATGATTCAGCTCGAATATGAACAGTATCAAGGCTTTTTCCAAGTTGACTCACAAAAGACTTTTTCCCCCCGTTCGCGTCTTCTATGTTTTTATTAAATCAATACCGAGACATACTATTTACGACCGTAACTTATCATTTTAATAGCTGTCATAATATAGCTATACATCTCGATATGGTAAAAAAGTACAAATATGGAAGAAAAACACAACATTTTCTACGTGCTCTCGAGCCGACTGATGAAAGAGGAAAAAACAACGAGCGAGATCTCGTCTGAATCAATTGGATCTTCTAGCAATTGGCAAATAAATGTAACGCAGATGTTTTTCGAATGATGTCACACAGAACGATATTTGTTGACATTTTGTGTGCTTTTCTCAATATCTGACGACATTTTCTTTTCAAAAAATACGAACGAAGTGAAGAAAACTTAATCAGTTTTGCTGAGAATGATACACATCTGTTTGGATTCTTGGCCTCTTGCTCCTTTATCACAAGAGGCCATCTCACAAAATTTGCTAATCCGTTTGATATGCAATAGTAATGCTGATCGTATTGATTTACTTGTTTCTCCTTTCAATTCAGTTTGCACTATCTAATCAAAGTTTTCCACTCGCTGTCAGAGATGATCTGACAGTCTCGAAAGTCAAACAGACTCGAAATCGTGCTAGTGTACCGCAATCGTTAACATTGCTAATGAATTTTAAAGAAGATGGAACGACATCATTTCAAATCATGCAAGGTTGGTTGTTGATCAATTGTAATTGCTTACTTATTTCTATTCCATAGGTACGCAGATCGTTTATTTGGATAATGGATTTTGCCAATACGGGCAACTGTTCGATCCGTCGACAGGTTATTGTCGAGATATTTATTGTCAAGAATTGAATTATAAATTCAACGGAACAACTTGTATACCCGATGAACATAAAAATTCATCATATGTGCAGAAACGAATGAGCGACATCGACTTATCCTTAACACTGAATATTTTCCCAAGTACTCATTACCAACGGGGGAATTTTTCTAAACGTTTAAATAGTCAAATGAATGATATTTGCACGAGCCATTGGAAACAAATGTTTCATAATGCTTTACGCAGTAAGTGTCGGACATTTTCTTGCTTTTTAAAGAAAACTGCGAACGATTTAGGTTATCTTGATATTGACTATGAACGTATTACGAAAATCAGATGCTATTTGCAAGAAGATGCTATGGAATCGGCAGAGAAAACGACGATAAAACCAAAGGGAAAAGCTTCAGTGTTAACAACTCCGTCAAGTAACACTTTATATGAAACAATTGAACATGTTTTGAAAAAAAACCAATCTATTTCTACCAACTTCTTTTTTTCCATCATCGATAAAGACCATGATTCAAACGATACATTAACAAGTTTACATGTCGTCACTCTTCTTTTACTTGCGTCAGAATTCCATGCTATTATTGATCTATGTCAAGATTACGCGATTAAAGTGGAAACACTATCAATTGTATCGGATAAGAATAAGACTCGAGATGAATTTTGTAGCGATCCTGATGTCATGTATCCAACCAAAAATGGAATTATACGTCGACGTGTCCGACCCGACGGCGAGCTTGACTATGTTGTTGAAATACCCGAATTGGAAACGACATATGAAAGTGGAGACTATACGTATCTACTTATGGTTTCAACTTTAACACAACCGCAAACATCAGCGCAGGATATGGTAATTTGCTATTAAGAAGAATGTTGATATAAAAGCTTTTCGTTTAGCAAGAGATCGCTGGTCAATCTTCGTCAACAAATTCGACTTCGGCAATGAAATTAGTTTCCGTCTGTAATCGTCAACCGCGCATCGTTGGTCGTTGTCCTGACAGTCTCGTGATGCGTCTCGCCTTATGTGAAATAGTTCAATATACAAATTTCTCCATCCGTGTCAAACGCACAGGTCGTCTCTATACAAACCGCGAATATCGTTACGATGAATATCGACCCGACTTGTATGTTGTCGTTTGTAAACATCAAGCACAAAACGGAACGACAACGAGTAAAAAACTTGGCTTCTTTGAGAAAGCTCCTGGAATACTTTCATCTGTGGCGACATTTCTTTCCATATGTGCATTAGCTATCACTCTATTTACATTCATTCTCTTCTCTTCCCTACGTAATTTGCCGGGATGTAATACCATGAATTTAATTATCGCACTGATGGTTGCTGAAGCGTTGTTTTTGTGCCAAAGTCTGATGATTGTGACGAAGCCAAGTGTTTGTCTGCTGTTTGCATTAGGCATACATTTCTTCTATCTAGCGAGTTTCTTTTGGATGAATGTCATGGCCTATGATCTATGGAGAACGTTCCACAAAGGTTTTTCACTTTATGTCTATGAAATTCATGAACGTTTGCCATTCTATGCTCTGTACGCATGGGGTGTGCCAGTGATTATTGTCGTTATTGGAATTGTATTAGATGCAGCGAATACTAAATTAAAACCGTGCTATGGACGATTCTTTCGTGGGTGTTACGATGTATGCTTTAGGACAAAGAATGACACACCATTGCAAGGTAAGTGATACAGAACTCGAATCATGACGAATAGAGATGAATGGATCGGTTTTTTAGGTTGCTGGATTGAATCAGCCTTGATGCGTTTCATCTTATTTGGATGTCCAGTGGCTATTATTCTTCTGATTAATTTCGTGTTCTATACCTTGACTGTCCGAAGCATCCGTCGCGGTTTAAAGAAAGGTTCGAAGCATGTTTTTTTGTTTTTGAAAACAAAACGAGTCTTTTGGTTGATGATTTAGTTCGTGTTCAAGTCGAACGCAAATTCCAACGTAAAAAACAAGTTGTACCCGGTGAACATGATGTGAAAATTTACATGCGAATGGCTGTCTTAGCTGGCTTTGGTTGGACCATTGGTTTCATTCTATTCATTCTACCCGATGGACCGGAAGATTTCGAACGATATTTGGCAGCTGTCTTCAAATATCTCTTTATTCTTCTTAATGCCACACCAGGCCTATTCATCTTTGGGGTCTATGTATGCAACCGTCGCGTCTTCTCGTTGTATGGCCAATTACTACGACGAATCTGCGAATTCATTCGGTTAAGTTTTACTCGGTTTGAAGAAAATCTGTTGAGTCGCAGTCAAAGTTGGTACAGTAAAACTAAAGTCAAGTTACAAACACTCAACGCTAGTAAGTATAAGGCAAAACAAGAAGAAGTATTCATGTCTACATTGCCAACTAATTCAAATGGCACACCAGTGAAATTAATCAAGAAAACTGTCTTAACACAATTATTGTCAGAGCAGCACAATCGATTGGCCGACGAACTGAGCACAAATTATCAGGCAACAAATTCGACATCACTCACAAGTTCAGAAGAGTAAATTCTACACACATTCTATTTTTGTCAAATATGTACACATGAATAAATCGATCATCAAGCTAATATATCGTTCATGTTCGTACAAATAATGAATGATTAATCATGAGTTATAACAACATGATCCTTAGAGATAATCCAATGTTGTTATCGTATCATTTGAACTAATATGACCTATTCATTCTCTGTTTTCATGTAAATTTTATTCATTGATATTGAGGATATTAGCTATGGTTTACAGAAACTTTGGATTGTTCGACTGTGTACGCAGCTGACCGGTGTTTCTTTGAACAGAATTTGTTTCGAACAGATTGTTTTGCTATTTGAAGCATTTCAAGGAGAGCTTTCCGTAAGATTTGACAGCTAAGAAAACAAGCGTATCCAGTAATGGCATTGTTCATCATTTCTAAGCCTAAGAGATAATAGTATTAATAGAAAGACAGATAGATTCAAGCTCATACCTTGAAATATATGTGTAATGAAGGATATAATCGAGTCATTAACATGTTTCGAGTTCATGTAAAGATTCCATAGGATGATAAATGAACGTGGCACGACGAAAACTGAGAAAATTGTTAGAAAGAAGAGGATCCAAATGGATTCAACTATCTTTCGACTGGCAATCAACGGTAAATGCCGTAACTTGTAAAAGAGAATCGTATTACATACCAGCAATGCTGTTACCGGTAAAACATCATCAATTAAAATGTAACTTATAATCATTAGTAGCGCGGGATTATAAATATGAGGACCATAGTAAAAGTTTGGATTAGGCACATTTATTAAGAATAATCGAACCGGATCGATGTATGATTTGATATAACGACTCGGAATGAAATTCACATGTTGACTGATGAGAGCACAGATGAGTAAAAGTACGATTAAAAATAATATTCGCCGTTGTTTCAAACGTTGATCAATCGTCATTTTCTTTGAATGAACACTGTAGCGATTTACTGACCAGTATTTGATAGTTATCAATCGTTCGATAGCGAGGACAACTTTCAACCAATTCGTCACGATTTTCCCATAACGATAAAACACGATATATACAGTTGAAATGACTGTATTTATTGGAATGATATCTGCTTGTAGAAGATAATAAACAATAACCGAAAATAGACGAACAATGTCGAATACAGCGATGAAAATAAGAAGTAAACCGTATGGAAAACGACAAAATGATGAATGATAAATGGCCAAAAGGAGTGCTGTATTACCAACAGTACCAAATACAATGCAAACAATACTGATAACTTCACCAAGATGGAAACCAATGAGAATTGCTTCAGTTGGTCTCAAAATATCTGCTGCACTTGTTGTGTTTACAACTGTTTGATTAGCATCATATACCAGTGACGATACGTTCGATACACTCTCATACGAAGACATTCTATGCACTGAAAAACTACTGATAAAAGTGAAATCTAATTGCTCTGTTATTGGTGAAATTCTTTTTTTTAATGAAAACAGAGTCGACTTTTGCTCATAATCAAATAATAATAAGAAAAACATGGTTTCAAAGTTAAAGATCGTATTTTCCTGCCGGTAATTAGAAAATGAAGGTAGGATTATCATACCATGGACAAAAGAACGTTATACTTCGCTGCTATTGGTTCATTCAATACAAGAAAATTAGTTACGAGTCAACTGATCCTAGAAAAAGAAACTTTGCATTCCGTGAACGCACTTTAAGGATCTATTAGAGTATTGGATTTAATTATATGCCTATCTTATATAGCTACACAACAAAAGGGCAGATAATATCGTCACCGACTATGATTTACCTTACAACTATTAAACCTCTAAAGTTAATAATGTAGGTTGGTGAGCAGTGAAATCTTTCAAGCTAAGCTCGCTTTCATTTATTCATCAACATAATGACGTTCGTATGTATGTTGGGAAGGCATAACCGGATATTCAACGCTTACGGCCATACCACGTTGAATACACCAGTTCTCGTCCGATCACTGAAGTTAAGCAACGTCGGGCTCGGTTAGTACTTGGATGGGTGACCGCCTGGGAATACCGAGTGTCGTAAGCTTTTTTGTTCTCTACTTAAACCATCAAGTAAATACACTCTGTTCACGAAAGAAAAGATTAGAATTCAAGAGAACATACAAGATAACTGTCAAGAAAATTTATTTTAGTTATCTGAATCATTTTTCATGTCATTAGCAAAATTTTCCGTAGATAATTGTTTAACCACATTCAATTTAACCAAATTTTGACGTTCCGTATTCGCATCATATTCCTGTTTATCTCGTTTCCAACACTTGTAGTAAAGATAAGCATCCAGCAAATAAATAAGATCACCAAAGATTTGTAATATAACTACACCATTTGGATATGCAACATTGAAATCAACATAAAAACGATAAGCTAACGATGTTGCACACAAGTAGATGACATTACCAATAAAGTACAATAGATGAGCCCACATACATACGTCCTAAAACGAAGATGGATATGCTTACGTACTTTTGCTCACTTTGTATTTACGCACCTGAGCTACACAACCACGTTTCGGATTTCGTGCACCTTGTCTGCGCAATGCCATACGCCATCCGAGAAATATCAAACTTGATTCAGTGAGAAATGCTAATATTGCGAAAAAATTCAACAATAATGTTGTTTTGATATACTTAAGTTGATGAAAAGCCAATGTTGCACCGAGTAAGTAAAGATAACAACCTACATTTTGAAACATACAGGCGATTAATTCAGCGCGATAATGTATCGGTTCATTTTCATCTTCACGTAGTTTCACTGCGTATACATACCAATCGATCGCGTATAGAATAGCACCCAGAGCAAATAAAATAGCAAGGAAAACATAAATCAAATTCGAAAGATCATTCTGAAATCCACTAAATAGATAATTCGTTGAATCTATTGTTAGATATCCAAACATCCCAAGAATGTAGATAGCATTAGCCCAATAGTTCCAGTACAAAGGTGAGACAACTGTTGATGGCATTATTAATCAATAGGAGATGTTAATTTATCGAATCGAAACTGCGATACTTTCTTCGATAGAACTATGAATGAGACTATCGAACTCATATTTTGCTCTTTTAGTTCTTTCTACGCAGTCGAAACTCGTTTACAACAGCTTGAGATGTGTTTCATAGATCATTAGATATTCGAATACTGTTAAAACAGATCGATTATCGTATCGGAAAAATAAAATATTTACTTGAAAAAGAAGAAAAAAAAATAGGAGAAAAACAGTCCTCGAAAAACGAAACCTTTCAATCATCCGTGATTGTGTTGCAGACGCGCACACATTTTTCACATTGCTGTCTTTGCTGTTGAGGAGGTGAATGCTTGTAAGCCGGTTATAGCTCGACCGAGGATCAAGGCATGAATGTCGTGTGTGCCTTCATAAGTGTTCACTGCTTCTAAATTCATCACATGTCGAATAATATGATACTCATCAGAGATTCCATTTCCACCAAGAACGTCTCGGCATTGACGAGCAATGTCAAGTGCTTTACCACAGGAATTTCGTTTGATTAACGAGATCATTTCAGGCGCTGCTCTAGAAGAGAATAATCAACAAAATAGTGTGTTAATTTCAATGTGATGTGTGCAGATACCGATTTTCATCTTTCAAACGACCCACACGTAAACAGGCTTGAAGACCAATCGAAATCTCGGTTAATGCATCAGCAAATTTCTTTTGGATCAATTGAGTTTGTGCCAATGGTCGGCCGAATTGTTTCCTATTGAAAAAATATCACTGATTTTGAAGCCTGCGTATATCAATCGTTTCTTACCGTTCAATAGTATATTGTCGCGCAGTATGTAAACAGAATTCAGCAGCACCTAATGCACCCCAGCCAATACCATATCGGGCGTTATTTAAACAACCGAACGGACCCTAATGGTAAAAGAATCCATGTAATAACGAACTCGTTTTTCGATTAACTGTTATTCTTACTTTCAAACCTTTAACTTTGGGCAATAGATTTGCTTTCGGTACATGAACATCATCCATAGCAATCTGGCCAGTAATCGAAGCACGCAGCGAAAATTTGCCTTCAATTTTTGGTGTACTGAATCCTTTCATTGATCTTTCCAAAATGAATCCACGAATTTCGTTATCGTCACATTTAGCCCAGACAACAGCAACATCAGCAATAGGAGAGTTTGTAATCCTGAAAATGCTATTTTCATATATATTTCTCGCAAGGAACTAGAACAAACCAAGATTTTGTGCCATTTAAGATGTACACTTGTTGTTTTTCATCCCATCTTGCTCGAGTTTCCATTGAACCGGGATCCGAACCATGATTTGGTTCTGTCAATCCAAAACAACCGATCAATTCGCCTGTAGCTAGTTTAGGTAAATATTTTTCTTTTTGTTCCTCTGATCCATATTCATTAATTGGGAACATAACAAGTGACGATTGGACACTAAATGCCGAACGATAACCACTATCAACGCTAAAAAATCAACACACGAAGTTATCTTTCGATAAATATCTCATCTTGCTTTTACCGCTCAACTTCTCGAGCTAATAAGCCATATCCAACATATGAAATACCAGCACATCCATAGCCTAAATTACCATCGAACATAGAATCTGTTGAAAGAAAAGCAGGAAATTGTTACCATGAATCGTAGGACCGAGAACACCGATTTCTCCTAGTTCGCGCATGATTTCCGGATGAAAAACTACAGTATTCAAATGTAAACAAAGAGATTCGACTGGAGGAATGTTCCATACTTTCTTTTCGGTTGGCTTCAATAATTCTTGGCATTAATTTTTCTTCGCAATAGCTGCGAAATTGATCACGTACCAATCGTTCATCGTCAGTTAGTTGAGATTCCAGGTCAAGTGCATCTTCGTAGTTAAATCGAGTTTCTACAATCACACACAAATAATCACGGAAAAAACAACACAACAATTCTTACTTGTCGATGCATTCTGTAATTGAACGGTAAACGATGGTTTTAAACATCGACGAATGATAGAAAATGTTCGACTATTAATACTATTGAGCATCGTGATCTGAAAGAATGTTCTATTATTGCAGTCGTCAAAACAAAAGTCGCGTAAGAAGTTTTATATTTATGTACACTTATTTGTATCACAGATAAAAAGAAACTCTAATGAGGTTTGGAAATGACGCATAGAGCTACTCCGCTTGTCACACATAACATGCCGAGAAGAAATCCTAAAACAAAACAGAACACTCCAAATGATCTGAACATTTCATTGTTTGTTTACGAGAATTCAAAAGCTGTGGACGCGAGATAACATCACAAAGATAGGTAATCAGGAGTGTTAACGCATTCGTCACAGGTACAGCAGTTGAAAAATCTAATTGAAGAACTGTATTCAACCTAATGATTCCAATGAAATTTTTTATACCAGTTTTTGCCAGACTGTAATAATAGAGTACCGAACCAAGTTGATTCAATAGAAATGGAATCCAATACTAGAGGAAATATGTCTATTTTAATCAAGAAAATCTAGCAATCTACTTGCGCATTTGTAAAAAAATACCAAATTTCAGCAGCGAATTGTTTTAATCGATTATCGTACTGGATTCTTTGCAAACCTGTCGAACCTTGTTTCAAAAACCAATTCGTTATACCCCATATAAATGCAGTGGCGATACAAAGTACAAACATGGCTTTGGCACGAAAATCAAACTAATTTACGTAACCGTACGGCTGCAGAAGGAATAGAACATATGTACATGTACACACCCATCCTATTGACTCATTTTGAAGCGCCATCTGGCGAACAAATCTGATTAAATTCGATCGTTTCGGTTAATTTTTTTGTAGAATAGACATGAAATTTTTACCACAAGAAAAAATATATATGCACAAGAAGAGGTCAGTCAAAAAACTGGATATCTCAATGAAGACGACACGACGAATCATTTGCTGATATGCATTTCATGACGTGTATCTCAGTCTGAATCTGAGAGTTTGAACGGAAAAGATTACCGAATAGCATTTGTCAAAATTTAAACAATAAACTTCTAGAATATCGACGCAAAAAAGAACTTGTGCTATCAAACTTCATGTTTATTTTATTTTCACATCATTTTATGACTCATAGTCGACAATAAATGATTATGTGATTAAAAACACAGAACGGAAACGTTGACATGTCCTGAGTTGACGTGGAATGTCTGATATATTTTTGTTCGGCGTTGAGCAAAAGAACGCCTGAGAATTAACACCCTCTCTCGTAGAGTTTTCAAAGGATCACCATGGTAAAAACTGTTTGTTAACTATGTAGATGATATATATATTCTCATATCCAACTTATTGTTACGTGAAGTTCTGCTCAAACTGTCGCCTTTCTTTTGCTGGAGTATAAAGCATGAAAAAAATGATCGAATGAAAAGAAACGAAAAAAGAAAAGAAAATGTGACCTTGTTTATGCATTTTTTACCAATGTGGCAAGCAAGAAAACGTGTCCAACATTCTTTTTACTGAATATAAAACAACGAGTTACAAACAACTGCTTTTGATTATGCCAAATAGTCAATCTCCATGTTAATTAGAAGAAATAATTCGAACTTGAATGAACCGTAAGTTGATTTACTTCCTAGTTAGTCGCTTTTTGTATACTTTCTTTTGTATTGATATAAGTACCTGTAGAGACTATTCTTATCAACAGAAAAATCTTATGCGCATGCATTCATATCGAACAAACTTTTTACTTACAGTAATACATGCATTGATTATTATTCCATATAAATATGTGGTAATGTTGGTTGTTTTCATGTTTAACATTGAATTAATTCATCGAGTTTATAGAGAAGGATAACAACTCGGATAATCGTGACGTTCAGTGATCACAACAGGCCGAAATCTCCGAAAAATAAATGTATAAAAGACAAGCGATTCGTAACAGACTCATGATTTCCTTTCCCTCTACATAGATTCATACAGTTGTGAAATCGGTTCCGTGAAATATTATCTCTACTGTGGTATTAGTGGTTTATTAAGTTGTGCTATAACACATACAGCAGTTGTGCCTTTGGTAAAAGAAAAGAATTGTTTCGATATCATTCAATTCTTCTGTGACGTTTGTATTCTAGGATTTGATCAAATGCCGTTTACAAGTAAAACCTCAGAAATATGAAAATCTCATTCGTGCGTTTCAAGTAACGATTGCGTATGTTACTGTTGAAAACTATTTCCATGAATGAGATTTATTTCGCTTTCAGGGAGGAAAGTATCTTTAGTCTAACGAAAGGTTGGGCGCCAACATTCATTGGTTACTCATTGCAAGGCTTCGGAAAATTTGGTTTCTATGAAATCTTAAAGAATTTTTACAGTGTGATCCTTGGTGAACAAAATGCTTATCTTTATCGAACCTTGGTGTATTTATTAGCGAGTGCGTCAGCAGAATTTCTTGCTGATGTTGCTTTAGCACCGTGGGAGGCTATCAAAGTGCGTATTCAAACACAAGATAATTGGGCATCGACATTACAGCAAGGTTTACCGAAATTCTACGGTATTTTAACATTCAAACGTATTCTTTCATCAAATTCACATGTCTTGTTTATTTTCTTTTAGCCGAAGAAGGCCTCGCAGGGTATGAATGAAAGATGTAACATATAGATGTACTTACAATTTGTTTACTTAGTTTGTACAAAGGTCTTGTACCATTATGGCTTCGTCAGATTCCGTATACCATGATGAAATTTGCATGTTTTGAACGAACTAAAGAAGTACTTTACAAATATCTTTTACGGAAACGTCCTGAACGGCGGACAAAGAAGGAAGAACTTGGGATAACTTTCCTAGCTGGATATGTCGCTGGTATATTTTGTGCAATTATCAGCCATCCAGCTGACACGATTGTATCCAAGTTAAATAACGAAAAAGGTTTGGGTTTGTTCGATGCAATACGACGTGTTGGCTTCGCTGGTAATGAGTTGAAGTATAAATGTATAAAACTTGACTATTCTCGCGCGTATTTAGGATTATGGAAGGGACTTGGACCACGCATTTTTATAGTGGGAACATTGAGTGCTATACAGTTGTTCTTTTATGATACGGCAAAAGTGATACTCGGTGTGCCACGAATGTGAATTCCCAAGTTCAAGATTTCTTTCATTGGTGATAGAATCAATCTTTTTGTTTCTGTATATGTTCTGAATTGTTTATTGAATAAACACAATCAAGAAAACATGAGTTTGCCTCTTTTTCGACTTTGAATTCAAAATGTGGAACGCATAGATCAAGTCGATATTCTCTTGAATGTGATTATTTTATTTTACGTAAAACATGCACATGAAGATGAAATTTCCAAAAGTTTTTCTTTTGTAAATGAAGAAAAAACAAACGAAGCCTTCACTCAGGATGATTTTCATTACATCAAATCAATTTTTTCTACTTTTATGTCAACCATATCACCATAACCCTTTGTCAATACAGGAACATTCGAACTGGTTATGAATCGTGTTTTACCATCGGCAACAATTCGTACTCGTAAGGAATAATTCGACGATTTTTCCACATCTTTCTCATCGTATTCAAGAGTAAATGTGATTGGGAAGGTTTGCTTTTGATTTTCTAAGATTAGTTTGGATATTGTATGGAATCGACGTATATACGGACCGTCTTGAGAAGCGATATCTGAAATGAAATTAATTACTGGTGCATCAGCAATCAATTGATCTTACCTGTTAATGTCATATCATCGAGATAAATGAGAATTTTATGATTATCATTGAGAACTTCATTGTGTTTTTCATAGTCAATCGTACCTTCAATACGTCTGACCATTTTAAGTTTCGAAGGCGACTGATGAAATCTGAAATTGAAACAGCTGATGTGAGAAATGTGATTTGAACGAAAATGGACATATATATATATGTGTGTGTGTATGTCCTCGAAAAGGAACCGGAAACTTCGATTTCGATCGGCATCGATCATAGGAAAAGGTAGATTTCATATAAGTTTTCTGTTTTTTGATGCGCAAAAGTGAATGTGTTAGATCATCTGCTGACTTCTTTCACTTTATGAAGCAATTTTGGAGAAAAATACTAGCCATTTCTCTTTTTGTTGTCTTGCATTCAATTCATTTTGAAGAATCTCTTGAAATTAGATTTCAATTTGTCACTCTAGGAAATACTTGATGAGCATGAAGTGTGACAGAGCAGTATTTCAGAAGATATTTCATTAGAAGATTCATCAAAGAAACTTCTCGAATTTGCGCACTATTATTAAACTTGGAAATTTTCACAGGACATGTTATTGATAACAGCAAGCAAAGGATTAATCAATCGATGAAAAACAAATTTCACCTAGATAATTCTGTTTTCGTCAGTGCATATGATTCGGTCACAGACGTGAAATATATAACATGTGGTGAAGATCACATCGAGTGTAAAATATGTCTTATCGAAGGCGGGTTTTGTGAAGCATTGGTATCTTCCGATAGATTGTAAAAGGTTTGTTAACGGTTGTTCAAGTATGACTGATCGATCTCGACATGGTCGATCAGACGAGTCGTTCAGAACATTTATGCTATTCTATATTTTGAATTAAGATGGAATTGTTTTCCTTTAATTCTTCCGAGACACATTCAGTACGTGAAATTAACCTACTAATGCACTATTCGAATAAGAATTGTGTCTACGGAATATGTCCTCGTAGTTAAAAATATTTTTGTTTTTTGTATTTGGCCGGTGAAGGGCAAGCGTGATTAAGATTTGAATACTGAGCTTGAAGGACATCTACGAAAGAAAAGACAAAATTATGTTTTTCGACAAACATGAAGACTGAAGCGATATAGTTTGGTTTTTACATCGCATGACTGACTTTGAAGCAAGATCGAGCGTGTTACCTGGTAAAGCAAAAGTAAACAATAATATCGCGTGCGAAAACTTCTTTATCTTTATTGACTTTAATGTAAGGTGTAACTTTTATCTAGATATGTTGGTGCATTCAGTCGTCGACAGAGAATGTGTCAAGTGATGTACTTCAAATACAGTTTGTTTTCAATAGAACATGAAAGAATTCTCGTGTTTTCCCTCGTTTTTTTTTAATAAGAATAGCATGTTTTGTTAGTTGTGGTCGAAAATCTATCATTTGTTCGATCAGTTTTAGACTTATTTTTATCGAACTATGGAGGAACACGGAATGTTCGTTGAAACGAATGTGAAAGAAAATGAACGAAATGAACATGAAGAATACCTTCGTACGGCTATTCAAGTATGAATTGACTACGACTATCTTTGTTTCTGTTGATGAAATATGTATTCATTTAGTTAGCAGAGCAGAACGTGCAAAACGGACTAGGTGGTCCATTTGGCGGTGAGAATCTCTTTTTGATTATGTATTCACTTGCAAATCGAGTGTTTGTTTAGCGGTTGTCTGCAAAGATGGAGTTGTAGTTGCGAAAGGTGCGAATAAAGTGGTGCCAAGTTGTGATCCAACAGCGCATGCGGAAATGGTAGCCATTCGACTTGCCTGTCAAGAATTGAAAACACATAATCTGGAAGGATGTGTTATATACTGTTCTTGTGAACCATGTCCAATGTGCTTAGGTGCGATTTACTGGGCACACCTTGATCACATTTACTTCGCACATTCAAAATCTGATGCTAAAGATAGTAAGTGAAAATGTCCATATGAAGTGCATAGGAACTGTTTATTTTCCTAGTTGGATTCGATGATCATTTCATCTACGAAGAATTAGCACGTGAGTTACATGAAAGACGTGTTGGCATCACACAATTACTCAAAGATGAATCGAAGGCTTTCTCCATGTGGAAAGACTGTCATACGAAAGTTCACTATTAATGTGTAATAGTTTTATCTTTTTCTTTTTATTACTAAATGTCAAGTATAAACGAAAAGATAAAAGAAAAACAAAACGTTTTCTATGATCCTCGATAAGTACTATAACCGAATTTGTTAAGTAAAAGTGGGACATGGTAATGGGCGGAGTCTTTGGTACAAAATTCGATTGTGACAGAAGGATAGAACCCATCAGGCATATACGATGCAATATCGAAGATGATTCGCCATCGACCAGCTTGCCATTTGTCTGCAGGCACGAGATCGACAGCACGACCATCAGTGTTTGTGTTCGCTGTTGTTGGCATCGGCACCCATTCTCCATTCAGAAGATTCTCAACTCGGACCGGAACATTCGCAGCTGGTCGACCACAAGATAAATCCAAAATATGTGTTGTTAGAGTTTTAGTCATCTAGAAATTTATTAGATAGGAAAAACGGTTTGACTTAATCTTAAAAGACAAAAAACAATGAACTTGTCAGATAAAAGAAAAACATCTCTTTTGGCCAGCTCGAAAGTTCTTAAAGCTTGGATGTAAGAGCGCTCTTTACTATTGATCGATTGATGGTACATTGAATATAACCATGAGGATCGTCGATGGGCATGAAGATTTCATTCTTGTTTTGTTCACCAAAACGGGTTAAATCGACCGGTAAACAATGAACGTTTGGCATTGTTAAATGAATTTGGCTGATCGTTGGAACACGTTCCAGAACATATTTGCCCATTGCATGAAGTGTATGTTGAACACTTTCGGAGTCGTGATCGGAGAAAACATCGAGCATGCCCGAACGAATTTGTTGACGTGTTCTATCAAAGTCAAGAATTGATGCGGCATCCTCGTAGGTCCATTTAGCTGTAATAGCTGTGCCGAAAAGTCGATCTCTCGAGTCGGTTAACGTAGTCAATGCATCACGATAAAAATTTGTAAAACTCGTTTTGGCTGTTTTCATTACCACCAAATCTTTGAGACCAGAAACAATCGAGAAGGCGCCATGTCGGGAACGTCTAACAGTAGTGAATTGCACTTCCTGAGTTGCTTGAACGAACGATGTTGGATGACGACTGTTGTTCGAAGTAACCATATGTGACCATTCTTTACGTTCGACTCGTACTTGTGCACCTGCTATTTGAGAATGATGTTCAATTAAATAGTTGACAAGTTCCTTGGCAAAATCTTCAATCGTTATTGTGCGTGTGCGCGAAGCGACGTAGTAAACTAAAAATAGACGAAAGCACGGCTAGTATCTAGTCGAAGGTGTGGTATCAAATGGATTTTACCAGTGTTTTTCATGGTATCGGTCGGTAAAACTTTGGTATTGTCGCCATCCACATAGCTGCTAACGAAATCACCATCAATGAGAACACGCACTGTCCATTCGTCGAACGTGTCACCATTGTAAGGTGAACGACGAACTCGTACGACGCGAACACCTTCTTTACCATAGCGATTGGGGCCTACGCTTGCCATCGTGAACCTGATTATTTCGCCTTAACTGAATAGGAAAAGTATAGTAGTATGTAATGTTATCGAATGCACGCAACTGTTATATACACATTCACTTTTGTCTTTTCTTCTCGTTTGATAAGATAAAACGAAGATGAAAAATAGTCAATATTTATCCGTTCTTTGCCTTGTTGCATGCGATAACTTGTTTAAAGCATAGAAGAAGATATACATTGCAAAGTATGACCTGGCCATGATAGAAGAATATGCAGAAAAGAAAAATCACAGCGTCGTCGAAGTCAATGTACTCAAAGTGAAGTTTTGATAAATAAGATGTTGATCTGGATACAACAAAAAGCGAATTCATCGTAATAAAAATTTATTTTATCTAAAGACTCTTAACAATACATTTATATCCTCACTTGTATATGTCATACACAAGGGAATAAATCAGGACACAGTGAACTAGATTTTTGTAGAATTCAAATCGTAGAAAGAATAGTAATATATTCATCATCCAATGAATAAACTTCTGTATGTGCTCTGCGAAGCACAAATATGTTTACAGAGCAGCATCTTTGAGTAAAATCTCATTAGATTAGTGTATTTTCTAGAAAGGAATGATCATAAATTATCAGCATGGAATGGGCACATATGATTGATACCGCTTTTGACACACACATGTTGATTTAGAACAGAAGATCTACCACGAATATAATTTGTAGGTCATGTAAACACAGAATGGCCACTATTGCATAGAATTTTGAACTAGTGCGATAGTTGAATGCCGAATCAGATATGTATTTGAAAATATATTGATAGAAAAAAAACAACAACAAACAAACGAATATTTCCTCCGAAAAAAAGTAAAACGAGCCATGATGATGTTTGATATTTCCGACTTGCTCTGACATTCGCTTCGTCCCATTCCTTTCTCTTCAAACCACAACAAACAATTTGATTGTTGCACATAGTATTCTTGCCTACATGAACATATACAATAGAAACTGTCACTACTCAAACATACGAGACGAAAGGAGCACCACATTATTGCACAACAAAACAAAAGAGAGAGGAAATTTAAAATAAAGAAGAAGAAGAAGAAGAAAACAAATACCGGGTAAAAACGCAAATAAATATGAATATTTTAAGCAACTGATTCGCTTTCACTGTTATTCAAAGTACAGGATGCTGTTGATAAGGCAATGGATCGGTTGATACTTGCATTTCGACGGTCATATTTTTGAGAATAAAGCCAATCAGTTCTAAAACAAATTTTCAAAATCAGCTCACTCAAGTTGCTTCTTAGATTTCATGCACGTGTGAATAGGAAGCAAAACACACACACACCAAATTCCAACGAAAAGCTCATAAGCATTGACGCAGTGTTAAACAGTTGAAAAGAGGCATGCGGAAAAATCGATCTTTCTCTCCAGGTACACTCATATCCTCTATACTTACATGTTTTAATCAAGGAAAAACCGTAAAAATCTGTTTCTCTTACGCCGAAAGTCATATCTGAATAAATACGGCGAAAAGAAATTAATTATACATCCGTTTCTGTTATGTCTCTAAGGACAAGAGCCATTCAAAGATTATCGGTTGGTAGAAACAAGCTGATAATTATTGTTTGATTTTTCAAAATAACCTTGATTAGTATGTAGAGAGAGAGAGAGACAGAAGGACAAGAAAAGAGAAGAAAGCATCAGAAGAGTTATTATTCATCGTGTCATACACAAGTTAAGTTAATTCATATCTTGTTCTCTACCGTTGTATATCTATTGATGAGAATGACTTTGTTCTTCTCTAAAATTAACGTACGATAATATGACAACAATCAACATAGAGTTCCTATCACCAAAGTTTAAAGAAACAACACCGATAAACAAAAATTTAATCTTTTTTCATCACGAACAACAGATGTGATAAGCTACCTTTTCTTTCTTTCTCAAATCAAAATTTTCCAGTTAGCTATTGTCTAGAGAATGAAGAGAATATTCGATTTCGTAGAAATTTAATTTCCTCAAGCGAAGTAAACTTTGTAACTTACTGTTCTATTGCAACTGGAATCGAAAGTTGATTATTCGGAAACTGTCGTTCGAGTTCAGCAATCGTATAGATATAATTGACTTTGTGATAGAATTTGTTACTAAACCATAAAAGATTCACATTGTACGCGAAAGTAAATTAAGATTTGCTATACCTGAAAAACGGTCTTGAAAGAGCAATGACAGTACGAAGCCATCGAGTCGGATGTACGACGTAAACTGAACGAAGGTTTTTACGAAGTCTAAATAGAATGAAATTGAAAAATATTTCTGCAACGAAAGTAACTGTTCTCACCGAAAATTGATCATCTGGTAACATTTGCGAAGAAATTTCAAATCGGGCGTACGATGTTTCGGTGTGGCACCATGAAAATAAATCAGAATGTAATCATTAGTAACCAACTTATCTAATGTATGATAAACATAACTAAAACAAACGACAAGAATTCTTTGGAATATCTGTCAAATACATAAACTTACTAAAATAACTGATCCATGATGTATCGATATTCTCTTAAACGATGATCAGGTAACCAACAACCGTATATAGCAATGACAGCCGTTTGATTATCTTGTTGTAACGTTCCTGCTGAACTGATCACACATTTGAATGGTGTAATCGTTTTGGCATCAATATTAATAGGCGTATTATCGATTACACATGCAATTACATCTTCAGCTTCGACATTGTTCTCATCTCTCGAAGTTGAACGAAGTATAGCTGGAAAAAAGAGTAAATTGCTTTGATTACATCATCAAATACGAATATGTTAGTTTTGTATTAGAAAATACTGATGAGCAAATGAACGGAAATGAAGAAACATAGTTTCCTGAAATAGCCTCTATGCATTCAAGAAATGATTCTTTCATTTTTTCTCTTTCTGTTTATTTGAAGCTTGCGCACACGCACGGACTAATTTCATTTACACTGTTCAGAATGAGTTGTTCTTCTTCTTCTTTTCTCGGTAGAGTTGATTAAGAACATATTCTTCTTGCCTGTTTCTTGGTTTCATCTATCTCTGTCTTTCTATTCCTTTCGGTTTCTACACCACTTGATTGTTTGTCGGCCGCTCTTTTCCTTCTCTCAACACTCTGCAATACCCTACGGCATCACTTGAAGATCTCTATGTTTATGAACGAATGAGAGAGAAAGCATAGGAGTAGAGATCTATACTCATTCTTCTAACATGTCTTTTTGAAGAGAACTACTATGTTCTTCCTATGATTAAGTAGCGATGTACTAATTTGAACTGACAAAGACACGCACACATATATAAATTCTGATTGAAAGAGTAAATCTCCTTTAACAGTACCATTTTCCTAAGTTCATCGAATATGGATACCAACGAGGTAGAGTACACCACAATGGTTCAACCATCTCCGGCTGTGCTATGTTTTTTCTTCTTCTATTCTAGAGAAGATTAGTTAATGGTGAACAGACTGATACGAGTGGTGATAACAGCACAACGTTGAAAAAAACGTTACTGCTTGGTTTTACACCGTTAGT